ATCTGAAAATGTGCATTTTTTAAAAAAGTCAAAATTCACATATAACTTCGTTTTTGAGAACACGTTTTGAAAAAGGGGCGGGGCTTAATAAACGTGGCATTATGCATAAAGTATTCAGCAAGAATGAATACAGTGACGTCATACAAAGTTATTCAGACTCGTTCATAACACAGTCTGTTCACGCAACTAACCCAGAGTGAAATAAAACTAGCTAACAGGGCTTTATTAGTCATTCAGACAGCTAAAACCGCGCAGTGACATGAAGTAATATCTTGATTTGTGTTCCACAGAAGAAGAAAGTCATCAGGTTTGAGCGACACGAGAGTAAATGATGATTAATGCGAGAAACAACACAAGAAAACAAAGAAGAAACGACAGAACAGCAGAGAAAAATCAGAGAACAGAAGAAATCAGGAAAACACAAGAGCATCGTTTCTGTTTATGAGTCAGCCCCTCTCTGTTTACTTCTGTCTTTATGATATATCATTTAACAATGTATCTGTATTGAAATATGTGTATGTAAGTCCTGTATCGCGTGTGGTGAGTGAAGTGAGAATAGTTCGTGTATGTTTCTCCTCAGAGTAAGTTAGCGGCTAGCGCATCGAGCTAGCGGCGCTTCATCGCACACAAACCGCGCAGTCTGAGCCCTAAATCTGCCAAACCGACCACATCAGCGATAATAACGACAACATTTACCGCTTTAGCCGCGACGCCGGTGCGTTTGTCCCACAGAAAATCCGTTCTGCCGTTATTTCAGCGCTCCGGAAACTCTCGCGCGCAACTTCCGGTGAAGAGCTCCGACTCACGCGCTCCCGTCATTTCTATGTTATTTCACTTTCTTATCCAATAATAAAGCTTGATTAAAATACCTACACTGCGAAAATATATGCTCGAAGTTGTAAATAAAACTAATATTATTAGAGCACTTTTTTTTTTTACACGAAATTTCCGTTTTTACGTCAAAACTCCACGTTCCCTTCGTTTAATTTACTCGCTTTTTGTAATTGTTTGTGAAATGTACTAATAATAATTTCTGAGTGAAAATTATTTCTATACCATTTTTTTCAGTGTACTTTATAAATGTCACTTTTATATGTTTGTAACACGAAACCAGACCATTGTGAAACAGTTTATTTAGGTTGAAAATATATAGTTAAGTTAAATATTAAGTTTTTGTTTTCATAATATATGTATGTGTACTGTGTATATTTATTATGTAAATAAAAACACACACACATACAGTATATATTTTGGAAATATTTACATGCATATACATTTATATTCTTATATTTTATAGTATATATAAATATATTTAATATATAAACATAACATTTTCTTAAATATATACATGCATATGTTTGTATTTAACACACACACACTCACTCTCTCACTCACACACACACACACACACAATAATCTCAATACTTTAATGGCATTCTTATGTTTCATAAATCTTTACTGAACTAACATAAAAACATTTGTTTAGTTTAGGAAATGTTGCTTTTTTTGAGAAGGCTGATTGGTTATCACTGGAGACACGTCACGGCACACTACAGCGGGGCATGTTGTCACAGTGGGAAGCTGCTAGTTAATAACACATACAGGTGCATCTCAATAAATTAGAATGTCGTGGAAAAGTTCATTTATTTCAGTAATTCGGACAACTGTCAGATCAGCAGTCTTCCCCATGATTGTGTAGCCTATTGAACCAAACTGAGAGACCATTTTGAAGGCTCAGGAAACCTTTGCAGGTGTTTTGAGTTGATTAGCTGATTGGCATGTCACCATATTCTAATTTGTTGAGATAGTGAATTGGTGGGTTTTTGTTAAATGTGAGCCAAAATCATCACAATTAAAAGAACCAAAGACTTAAACTACTTCAGTCTGTGTGCATTGAATTTATTTAATACACGAGTTTCACAATTTGAGTTGAATTACTGAAATAAATGAACTTTTCCACGACATTCTAATTTATTGAGATGCACCTGTAGGCTATTTTCAGTAAAACAGTGAACAGGTGAAACGTAACAATCAATCAATTCATTGTTGTGGCCAGCAGCGAATTTAATAAATAAATTATACTGTAATTTATAACACACTAAACACTCGTGACAACTTGCCCCGAGCTGTCGCTGATGTAAAATACTATCAAGAACTGTTGAATCTTTTAGTTCAAATCGTCAAACTTACAGTGATTCTTGTCTTGATGCACGTCAGAGTTTACTGTTAACTTGATTCAAATATTTTAGAACTATAGAGACATAGAATTTGAGTTTTGTAGAGTTTGTCAGATTGAATGTTTAAAAGCAACAGACGAAATAGAGTACAGTATACTTTAACAAACTACTAAAGTATAAACTATAAATGAATGTGTTTATATGAAGATGCATGTAGAACTGACACTGTAACACCCGTGAAAGTCTTGTTTAATGTATCAAAATAAAGTGGGTTTATGATTAAAACCAGAACAAATATCTGCTAATGGAGTCAGAAAAATCAACTTGTTTCTTCCTTTGAGTTCCGTTGATTTTTCTGAGCCCAGTTTGTTCTGGTTTTATGCATAAACTCACATTTTTCATAAAACAAGACTTCATGTCTTCAGTCATTTTGTATGTCCAGTAAATTAAGAATCTTTAGACGTTTGAACTGGAAAACGACAAACAGAACTGAATACTCCATTACTTGTTAGTGGCTCAAATAAACAAAAACAGCAACAACACATGGTACAAATGTCTTTTTTATTCAGAAGACAATAAAATAAGAAAAGAGACCCGATCCATTCACCCTCAGACGATCTGAAGCATTAAAACATCACATATCAAAATTAATTCACACAAGCCAAACATCTGGGTTCAGTAAGATTTATAATGCTTAGCAAGGCTGCATCTATTTGATCAAAAATACAATAAAAACAGTAAAAATGTGAAATATTATTACAATTTGGAACAGCTGTTTTCTGTGTGAATATCTATTAAGCTGTAATGTATTTCTGTGATGCGCAGCTGTATTTTCAGCATCATTACTCCAGTCTTCAGTGTCACATGATCTTCAGAAATCAGATTTTAAACTGAATTAAACCACAGATGGGACGCAGAAAAATCTGATCTTGTGCCATTTATTTTTCTGTTTACACATGTGCAATGATATCCGATCTTTACTAAACCTGTCTGTAACACACAAACAAAACTGATCTGATTATTTTAGGGTTGTGACTCACTGAACTAAAGCACATAAGGATTATCATCTGATGATGATGATGATGATGATGAAGGTGTTCAGAGGGATAAATAAAGGCATGTCAGAGAAGCTCTTCTCTTGGCTGTGTTTCAGCTAAAAGCTCGAGTCGCCTCACATTTCATCAGCATGCGGCGGTTTGGCTGCGTCTGCGATTCCTGCAGCCACCGGAGCGCTTAACCCCACAGACAGAGCATCTGCGTCTGTGTCTGCGTCTGCGTCGCTCGCGGCCGAGCCGTTCCTCTGTTCTCGAGCCCAATCCTGCGTCTGCTGCGGCCCATCTGCGTCTGCGTCTGCGTCTGCGTCTGCAGGTCTGGGTTCTGACTGAGGCTCTGGAGACATCGGATCGTCTTCTCCGGGATCCTCCAGAAGCGGAAGAGACTCCGCCTCATTCAAGATGTTTCTGGAAATCACTGCACACAATAAAAACCAGAAACACTGCATACTACAGAAGACAAGACTTAAACCACTCTAATACATTTCACACCAATATCATATATGTGTCCCTGCAGCACAAAAGCAGTGTTAAGTCGCTGGGGTATATTTGTAGCAATAGCCAACAATACATTGTATGGGTCAAAATTATACAAATAAATGAACTTTTCCACGACATTCTAATTTATTGAGATGCACCTGTAGGCTATTTTCAGTAAAACAGTGAACAGGTGAAACGTAACAATCAATCAATTCATTGTTGTGGCCAGCAGCGAATTTAATAAATAAATTATACTGTAATTTATAACACACTAAACACTCGTGACAACTTGCCCCGAGCTGTCGCTGATGTAAAATACTATCAAGAACTGTTGAATCTTTTAGTTCAAATCGTCAAACTTACAGTGATTCTTGTCTTGATGCACGTCAGAGTTTACTGTTAACTTGATTCAAATATTTTAGAACTATAGAGACATAGAATTTGAGTTTTGTAGAGTTTGTCAGATTGAATGTTTAAAAGCAACAGACGAAATAGAGTACAGTATACTTTAACAAACTACTAAAGTATAAACTATAAATGAATGTGTTTATATGAAGATGCATGTAGAACTGACACTGTAACACCCGTGAAAGTCTTGTTTAATGTATCAAAATAAAGTGGGTTTATGATTAAAACCAGAACAAATATCTGCTAATGGAGTCAGAAAAATCAACTTGTTTCTTCCTTTGAGTTCCGTTGATTTTTCTGAGCCCAGTTTGTTCTGGTTTTATGCATAAACTCACATTTTTCATAAAACAAGACTTCATGTCTTCAGTCATTTTGTATGTCCAGTAAATTAAGAATCTTTAGACGTTTGAACTGGAAAACGACAAACAGAACTGAATACTCCATTACTTGTTAGTGGCTCAAATAAACAAAAACAGCAACAACACATGGTACAAATGTCTTTTTTATTCAGAAGACAATAAAATAAGAAAAGAGACCCGATCCATTCACCCTCAGACGATCTGAAGCATTAAAACATCACATATCAAAATTAATTCACACAAGCCAAACATCTGGGTTCAGTAAGATTTATAATGCTTAGCAAGGCTGCATCTATTTGATCAAAAATACAATAAAAACTGTAAAAATGTGAAATATTATTACAATTTGGAACAGCTGTTTTCTGTGTGAATATCTATTAAGCTGTAATGTATTTCTGTGATGCGCAGCTGTATTTTCAGCATCATTACTCCAGTCTTCAGTGTCACATGATCTTCAGAAATCAGATTTTAAACTGAATTAAACCACAGATGGGACGCAGAAAAATCTGATCTTGTGCCATTTATTTTTCTGTTTACACATGTGCAATGATATCCGATCTTTACTAAACCTGTCTGTAACACACAAACAAAACTGATCTGATTATTTTAGGGTTGTGACTCACTGAACTAAAGCACATAAGGATTATCATCTGATGATGATGATGATGATGATGAAGGTGTTCAGAGGGATAAATAAAGGCATGTCAGAGAAGCTCTTCTCTTGGCTGTGTTTCAGCTAAAAGCTCGAGTCGCCTCACATTTCATCAGCATGCGGCGGTTTGGCTGCGTCTGCGATTCCTGCAGCCACCGGAGCGCTTAACCCCACAGACAGAGCATCTGCGTCTGTGTCTGCGTCTGCGTCGCTCGCGGCCGAGCCGTTCCTCTGTTCTCGAGCCCAATCCTGCGTCTGCTGCGGCCCATCTGCGTCTGCGTCTGCGTCTGCGTCTGCAGGTCTGGGTTCTGACTGAGGCTCTGGAGACATCGGATCGTCTTCTCCGGGATCCTCCAGAAGCGGAAGAGACTCCGCCTCATTCAAGATGTTTCTGGAAATCACTGCACACAATAAAAACCAGAAACACTGCATACTACAGAAGACAAGACTTAAACCACTCTAATACATTTCACACCAATATCATATATGTGTCCCTGCAGCACAAAAGCAGTGTTAAGTCGCTGGGGTATATTTGTAGCAATAGCCAACAATACATTGTATGGGTCAAAATTATAGATTTTTCTTTTATGCCAAAAATCATTAGGATATTAAGTAAAGATCATGTTCCATGAAGATATTTTGTAAATGTCCTACCGTAAATATATCAAAACTTAATTTTTGATTAGTAATATGCATTGCTAAGAACTTCATTTGGACAACTTTAAAGATGATTTTCTCAATATTTAGATATTTTTGCACCCTCAGATTCCAGATTTTCAAATATTGTCCGATCATAACAAACCATACATCAATGGAAAGCTTATTAATTCAGCAATTTCCAAACATTGACCCTCATGACTGGTTTTGTGCTCCAGGGTCACATATCTGTGTTCAAACCAGTATTACTAGTATTGGCACTGGTTGGGTATTAGGTGGTTATACACAAGTTTAATTCTAAACATTACATTTTTAAAATTTATTTCAACAATTTAGTTTCAAATTTTATTTATTTTCACTAGAAGCTTTTCATTTTTTTTAGCTAGTGTAATTATAAGCTTTTAATGTTATTCCTTGTTTATTTTAACTAGTTAATTCTAAACATTGAATTGCACATGGCAACTGCTTGGCAACGCAAGAAAAGCTTGACACCAAACAGCTGCTGGTAGCCATTGACTTCCACACTCATTTCCCCATAATATACTGCAGAGACTCACCGGCGGCCGGAGCGTAAGTGTCCTCCGCTGACGGCGAGCGGCGGCTGAACGGACTGTAACTGGGGAAGATGAGCAGAGCCAGAGAGAAGATGAGGATCTGTGAGGAGGAGGAAGAGCACACTCGTGAGATCACAGCCGCACACGACAGCACTAATGATCCGAGAGAGAGAGAGAGAGAGAGAGAGAGATCAAACCATGATGCATGTGCTCGTCTGCGCAGCTTTAATGGCCGTCTGCTTGATCAAAGCCTGCAGACTGTGCAGCTGAGCCACAAGAGACCTGAAACACACACACTGCATCAAATCTGCTATATTTGTCTCAATCGAGCATCAATATGAGGAACAGCATCACTGCATCACATCTGCTGCTTCCAGAAACAGTGTCTGTTTTGCTCTTTCACGACACACTTTCACACTAAATATGATGCATTTTGTAGCATTTTAGTTTTTGAGAATTAGTCTTGTTCTTTCTCTTAAACACCAGAAAAACACACAAACACATGATTCCTGTCTGAATCTGAGCCAACCATCAGATCAATTCTCGGCCTGTTTTCACATGCATGACAGTATTTAATATCTAATCCTGATTTCAAGGACAGAATTATGATCCAGAGACAGAAGAAAACACAAACTCTTACTGCAGCCAAACAGACAGAAAAAAAAAATCACAGATTTTGAAAAAAAAAAGAAGCTTATTTTTGCATTAATTGGAGAATTTTAACATTTCCACTCCTTTATAGATGAAGTTACATTATACATTTTAAATTCTACTTTTTGTAATTAAAATGTTACCATTTAAATTGCATTAAAGCTGATTCAGTACATGTACATAATTAGGAAAAATAAACTGTATAAGATGGAACATTTTTATTGATATTTTTTAACTTAGCATCATCAGATTAGGTAATTTTAGGCCTTTTTTCTTTTGCAAATCATCATAAATGTTGCAGTCCTGGTGTTGTTATGAGACAGTGTTCAGTTCACTCACACATTGTGTTTCTCCAGCTGATCGACGGTTCTCTGCAGCTCTTTATTCTGAGCTGAACACGCCACCCCTCTTTATTCAACACGCCACCCCCCTGAAACACACACACACACACACACACTCACACACACACACACACAACACACACACACACACACACACACACACACTCACACACACAGACACTCACACACACACACCACACACACGACACACACACTCACACACATACAGACACTCACACACAGACACACTCACACTCACACTGACAGACACAGACACTCACACACAGACACTCACACACAGACACACTCACACAGACACACTCACA